AGCTCTGGCAGGAAGAGAACTTGCTTCCTTTCTGTCCTGTGAGCTGGTTTTCATAACTCCACAATTCCCTCTGGCTTTCGAAATGGGAGTTAGTTCAGGACCCAGGACTGAAGCCCTCAGAGCTGTGTGTGTTACTCAGTTGTCCCTCAGACCTCTGGGTACAACTGCACACACATACAGTGTGTTTCCCAAGTTTTCCAGTACCTGTACAGGTGACAAACAGCCCCAGTCAAGTGTCCCCTCAGGACAGGCTTTGCAAGTCCCACCTTGCAGCTTTAAGGCATTTCTGGTGTCCCAAATCTCCGGCTGTACATCAGGAGCACAAACACAGTTCAGTCACACCAGCTGTTCACTGCAGGTACATGGAAGGTGTGAACAGGGGGTGTGATGAGTGGGGTGTTAATCAGGACACTGATTTGGGGGTGCTCGTGCTCAAAGGAGAAAAGGAGCCTGAGGAACTCAGGAGCCCAGGATACTTTCACAGCCCAGCAACGCTTCCTGCCGCTGCTGCTCCAAGTGCTAATGATTTGTCAGGAGTTTAATGAGCTGGAAGCTGGAATGCTCTGTGAAGTGCTTATTTGGTGGCAGTTCAATGATGTTTCCACCTAAATATACAGGTTATGTTAATTGATGTCACTGAGGTAGGATTAAAGCGATAGACACAAAAGCATCCCCTAAATAGCAGGTGTGATTTTTCTCCCATGTATCCTCTCTCACCTTGCTTCTGGATTTAAATCCTTGCTCCTGTTAGAGCCTTCTTCATTTGACTCCTTTTTCCCTGTTGGGACACTCCTTATGCAGTCATGCTGCTGACTGGCAAAGTAATAAATCCTTTTTTCCTCTCTAAAACCAAGGAATGATTAAGCTGAGGAGTCCCATCCTTACTCCTACTCCTGTTGTCCTTCCTCAGACCCTCTCTCTGACATACACAGTATTATAAACCCAACAAAGCCACCAATGAAATCTGCCTTAAACCTTTCAATTTGGGATAAACTCAGAGTTTGGCTGTGAACAGGCTGGGCACAGCCTGACATGGCTGTTTGGGATACACTCAACTCCTGCAGAAGCCTGCAGCTACCTGACCCCTATGGAGGGATGTATCCCTGAGGTAGTGGGGATGGATTTCCATGACCACTCAGTGTCCCACCCATGGTTTTGAAGGGCTTCCTGCCTGATAGAAAGGAAAACAGAGGTGCATTCCATTTTCCAAAATGATCCTTGCTACAGCAGCAGGAGAGCAGGTCTCTGAGGGCGTATCCATGAGCCACTGGGCCTGTTTTGCGTTGGTGTGCTGAGTGTATTTTGGGAAGCAGGGGCTTTCCCACTGCTCCCACATTCCAGCAGGTCACAGCCCCTCGGTGACCTCGCTGGGGTGGCTCCGTGTGACACGGTCACTCTCTGTCCCTTCCCACAGCAATCCTGTGTCAACTGCGGGCGGGAGGCCACCAACGAGTGCACGGGGTGCCACAAAGTCAACTACTGCTCCACGTTCTGCCAGCGGAAGGTATGGCATGGCTGGGAGTCGGGATCCAGGTCCCTGGAGAGGGCTGTGGGACCCTTGGGAGAGTCACCTGATGGAGCAGAACTGGGCAGCCAGCACAGAATCCTGCGTGGGTCAAGCATTCCAAACCCCCTGCCAGTGGGATCACCAGCAAGGCTGTAGTCATGGGGCAGGTCTGCAAGTCGGGACAGGGTTAAAAGGGTAGGGAAGGTCCCAGGGTTTGCACACACCTTCCCAAAGGTGATCCAAAAAATCAAGGTAACATTCCGCTTAGTCCAATTCCACCTCTGATATTGGCCCAGTGTGTGGCTCCTTTCCCCTCCATCATTGGTCTGGTTTGTGGGGCACTGGAGACCTGCTGCTCCCACCTGTGCTGGAGAAAGCGCTTCCCACACAGTGGCTTTTCCAAGGGCCTGTTCCCTTGATGGCCTCGCCCTCTGCTCTCCCCTCGCAGGACTGGAAGGACCACCAGCACATCTGCGGCCAGTCGGCCACGGTGACGGTGCAGGGTGACGAGGTGCACGTCACGGACAGTGTCATGGAGAAGGTCACCGTGTGAGCAAACTACCTCCGCAGCCGTTCCCAGGCACGCGGGGCCGGCTGGATCGGGACCCGGCGGAACGGTCTGTCCTGTGCCAACGGCACTGTTCTCTCTAGCAGAATCGTTTTTGATTGGCTTTTTGATACTGTGACAGCGTTTGTCTACTCCCGAGCCCCTTTCATAACTTTGGATAATACAGAGACTGTGAAAACCTCATCTGGAACGCCCCCCACACGCACACTGGGATCCCCCTTTGCCTTTGGGAGGCTTTGCCTTTGCCTGACTGGATCCTCCATCACGTGGATTACAGCAACCTCCTCATCTCTCTTGAAATTAATCTAAAGCAGGTGCTGCAAGGAGATGTGCCAGTATTTCCTCCTCCCGGGGCCTCCCTACCTCTTGTTTGAGAAGAGAAATGAACCTTTGGCTTATTTAATTGCCTTGACAGAGTCGGTACAAGTTCTTAGTTTGGCTTTGGAAGGATTTTTGTTTTTCCTGTGTTCCCTCTGTGCTAGGCAGATTTGGAACACGTTGGAGCTTCTGCATTTAAATACCATTGGAAAATAAGATGTTGTTCAATAAAATGCAGTGAAAGCACGAGCGAGCCCAGCGGTTCCCTTTAATCCCCAGGGCAGCACTCGAGGGTGCAGGTACTTGCACAGGTGGGTGTGGTGGCAGGTACACGTGTGTCCATGTTCCCCTGTCTGCCTGGGAGGTGTTTGCTCCGCAGGGAAGCACAGCCTCATCCCACGGCGTGCCTGGAATGTCGCTCGTAGCATCCACCTGGCCAGAATCAGATCGGATGAAGCCCGAGGTGAGTGCACGTGGATATGGGGCTGTCCTGTCCCTGCCCCACAGGAGCTGCTGATTAGAGATGTGACCATTAGGGAGTTATTTGCTTTGTTCACGGCAACAAAATCATTCTAATTATTAACGTACTTCTTTAATAATTAAGCTGTTGTGGTTGGAGATTTTGGAGGACTCTTGGCAGGCGCGCAAACCTCTGGTTGGTGGTTTGGGTTTGTTTTTAGCTTCAGGCATAGCCCCTGTGAGGGGTCACTTGTTCTGGCTGGTTGTTCAATTGAGGGATCACAATCCATCCCTCTAAGGGATCACAGCCCCTGTGAGGGTCACTTGTCCTGGCTGTTGTTTGCTCTGGATGAGAGGTCACAGCCCCTGTGAGGGTCACTTGTCCTGGCTGTTGTTTGCTCTGGATGAGAGGTCACAGCCCCTGTGAGGGTCACTTGTCCTAGATGGTGTTCACTCTGGTTTTGTGCTGGTGGATGAGGATGGTTGTTCAGCTGCTGCTCCAGGAAAGGTCAGCTGAACCACGGAGTGACCCAACCCAGCATCACACACACACTGTCTAAAGGAGAACATTCTATCCAGAGCTACAGGAAAGTTAATAAGAGAGAAAAATGCAGTGGAAAAGACTTAAGTCTTAGACTGGAGGTCTCTGGCAAATCCATGGAAAGCCAAGCAGGAACTGAGGCAGGATGGGAACAGAAATTACCTGTGATACTCCTGGGAAGGAAAGAACAGGCAACTCCTTCCATTCCCACAGCAAAATGCCCACTCTTGCTTCCCAGAGTAATACTCAAGTACTGGCAATGGTTTCTGCTCACAGTAAAATGCTGACTTCCTGTTTTCTAGAGCATGGAGACAATTAGTTAATTGAGAAGACAGTCTTAATTGAGCCCCTGGTAACCCAGCTCATTCCCAGGGTTTCTTGTGTCCCGCATTCAGACGCAGCAAAGGCATCTCCAAAGTGGCACCTCTGGAGTGCTGAAGCTGCACTTGCAGCATCAAACGAGGCTTTTGGTTGCAAACTATTCTTGTTGCTTCACATCCCTGTCCAGCACGGCCGGTGTGAGCAGCAGAGCTCCTCCTGGGTTGAGGACAAGGCAGCTCCATGGACAGGTGAGCTGGGACACCAGGAATGGGCTTGGGAGGGGCATGAGGCAGCAACGGAGTCTCCACTGTCCTTATCCAGTGGCTGTCCTTATCCAACCCACTGTCCTTATCCAATAGCTTGTGGCTGGCTATAGTCAAGCCTCGGTCACTGCTGGAATTTTGTCTTTACTGCACCTTGTAAGGGGAAAAAATTTGGAAGAAAGTGGGGCAACTTCTCTAAATTGTAGAACTGTAGGTGTGACTCAGCTGCCATTAAAGCTCTTGGGGAGCTTCCCACTGGGCCCTGGTACCTGGGGCAGCTGCACCCCAACCAGGCAGTGACAGAGCTCAGAAAGGCACAGGATAATCCCCTGGGAATTGAGTCTGTCTGTTTGCTGAGGAGAAACTCATTGAGCAATTGCTATTCTTAGTCAAAGGAACACTCAAGACCTCCCTGCAGTACTCTTTTCTGTTTTGTTTCCAAGCAAATTTCCCCCCTGGAAAGCAACAATCCTGTACAAAATCATGACTTGGAAGATTGTAATTTGTGCAATATTCCTTTTCTCCCCTCTGAGCCTCAGTGACAAGCGTTGCCTGGTCCCACTGGCTGTTGCCAGCCCAGGTTCACCTAAAGGCATGGAAGATTTTTTTCCCGTGGCTGGAAATGGTTCCTGGCAGGAATCCTATGGCTTGATAAGGAATTCTGGAGCACTAGCAACGGTGCCTTTGTAGGACCCTTGTTAAATGTGAGTGAAATCAGGCTTTGGATTTAAAATTATCAAGAGCAAGGGGAAAGGAGGTTGCACAGGTAGATGTCACCTCACAGCCCTGTTAATGCCACCCCAGAAGCCAGAAGACTAGAAATTATTATTATTATCCCTGCTTACATCAAATGTGAAAAAAGAGCCTGGAAACCTGCAGTTTCCAGTGGGAAGAGGATCTGAGCTGCATTCAGTGGTACTCACCTGTGACACCTTACTACAGGGAGCTGGGGAGCAGCTTCCTTGGGCCGCCTTCCTTCTCCTCCTCCTCCCCTCCTCCCCAACAAAGACAGCAGGCCAGGGACAGAAATAGATCTTTAATGAACTATACAAAAAATCACCTGGTGGTTCCTGCTCCCTGGAGGTTCCTCCTCCTCACCAGTCCCAGAGGGCTCAGCAGAAGAGGTGCAAGACTTTGCGGAAGAAGTTCCTGAACTCGGCGTTGAACACGGTGTAAATGATGGGGTTGAGAGCACTGTTGACATAGCCCAGCCAAGTGACAGTGCTGGTGACTTGAGTGGGGATGGCACAGGACTTGCAGAGAGCCCTGGTAATGTGCACCACAAAGAAAGGTGTCCAGCAGAAGAGGAAAGCACCTGCCAGGGCAGTAAAGAGAGAAGGTGATGGGAACATTCAAAAGGGTTTAGTTTAACAAAGCTCGGGCCAAACAAGACAGAGGCAGCTCAGAGTGGCCAGGGAACAGGCAGCAGCTGTGCTGACATGTGGAGCTGGGCTTGTGCCCAGACAAAAAATTGGGATGTCTTTCCTGTCACAAATATTGATGAAAAGTCTAAAGTTAATCTCACTTTGGCTTTGAATGTAAGATACTGGGAGTCACAGGTTTGCCTTGAAGGAAACTTGGTTATCATACATGCATTCTCTCCCAGGGGTGGTAGTTGTTGGCACTGCTCTGGCACCCCGGATCCACACAGGTCCCTGCCCTGCGTGGGACAAGGTGGCACATTTCCCACCCTGCCCAGCCCTTCCCTGCGGATACTCACCGACGACGACCGGCAGCACCCGCATGGCCTTGCGCTCCCGGCCGTTGATCTTGGCCCGCTTCCGCCCGTGCCCCGGGTGTGGGTACCTGAGGTGTGGGTAGGACACAGTCTGGATCCCATTGCTCATCCCACAGTCCCCAGGGAGGCCAGTGAGGCTGTAGGGGCTGCACTCCGGCGGCCCCAGCCGGCTCTGCTCCCTCTCCAGGAAGGTTGGGGGGTGGTACAGCTTCTTGTTGGCCCCATAGATGCAGCCCCTCAGCTTGGCCTTCCTGGCCTCTTCCCAGCGCTTGAGTCCTTGGAACATGCCGCAGTACAGCACCAGCATGACGGGGCACGGGATGAAGAAGGAGCAGATGGAGGAGTACACGATGTAGTTGTCATCCTCCAGCTGGCACAGGCTGGGGTCCCGGTTTGGGACGTTGTTGAGGCCAAATATGACAGGAGATGCTACAGCAAAGGCGAATATCCAGGTGGTGGATATCAGGATCAGCTGCCGCAGGTCGATCTGCCGCCGGTTGTAGTTGAGCGGGACTTGAACGGCGATGAACCTGCCAACACAGCCCCGGGTGAGCCAGGCCTGGCCTGGGGGCGTCACTGCCTGTGAGGGGACCGAGAGGCCCCAGAGCTCCTTGTCCCTGTCCTTCCCCCCCAGGCATTTACATAGCCAAGGCATGGGCTACAACCAGAGCACCCGAGGGGCAGCTCTGCTTCCTCACACAGCGGTGCTTTCAGCGTGGCCACCCCTGATGGGACACAAAGCTTGGGATGGAGGATGGTAGGGCAGAGCATCCCCACTTAGGGGAGGGCGGGATCCTCCCACTGTGGGAGCCTGGCGAGGGTGTATGGAAGCAGCGTGATGCCCTGACACAGCCAGAGCAGGGAGGCACTCACCGGTCCACGCTGATCGCACACAGGTTGAAGATGGATGCCGTGCACAGCATCACGTCCATGGTCATCAGGGCGTCACACAGCACCGTGCTCAGGGACCACACACCTCCCTGGAACTGGAAAGATCCCGGGGTCAGCAGATGCCTTTAAAGTGACAGGGAACACCTCCGTGCCTGGGCACCTCAGCCACTCCCAGTTCCTCCAGACAAGCAGCCCAAGGCCGAGCGCTCCTCCCATGGCACAATGCTCCCGGCACGGCAGTGGCACACAGGAGTCAGCCCCGCGCAGGAGCTCACAGCCTGCCCAGGGCTGGCAGGAGAACTGAGCCCACAGAGCATCAGCATGGCCAGGTGAGTTGTGCTGGGCAGAGAAATGGACACAGAATGGCCCCCACTGCCTTGGGTGAGTGCAGGAGCCCCCACCCTCCTCACACCCCCAGAGCCTCCCCAGCACCACAGTCGCTGCACAGCTCCACTGGCTCTGTCCCTGAGGCAGCAAGTGGCAGAACACAAAGTTCCTCTTCCACTTTCAGGTCCCCACTGCTCCAATGTCCTGTTGGCAGACAATGCGAACGGTTTCCCTTTGTTAACACAACTGTTCTGTCCTGGCAGGCAAAGCACAACTCCAGCCCATGGAGACCAGGGTTGGGCAGGGAGATAGAACCTCTGGCTCTCCCTGCACAGTCCCAGTGCCAGGGCAGAGCAGCAGTGACCAGTGTTGTCACTGCTCCAGACGACTGGAAGTGTTGATTGCCATGCTTTGTGATTTTCAGCTCGGTCATCTTGGCCAGGGGCACAGCTCTGCACAGCCCCTGGCAGAGGACTGGCAGCAGGACAGGCAGCAGGACAGGCAGCAGGACAGCAATGGCTGACGCTGGTACAGCCAGAGACTACTTGCAGCAGTTTGTTCCAAGCGAGCGCTCATCTCACCCAGGTACAAACCCAGCCTGTTGGTTTAGCATTAAAGCCCTTTTTAGGCTGATACAGAAATACACCCCCTCAATCCCATTCCTGTGCCATTATTCCAGTGAGCTCCTTCCGCACAGGCAGAGTCCTGTCTGTGTGCTCACGCCTGCACAGGTAACCAGGAGGCTCCATGGGCTGTTCCCATTAGAGCAGCAGGGAATTTTCCTCCTGGTTTGTGCTGGTCAGGAGAACTTCACCATCCTTTGGGTCCTTCTGCAGGGAGAGGTTCACTTAAGAACCAAACACACTGTACAAATAAGTGTGATTTTAGCTTGGAAACAAAGTGTTCAGTAGCAATGGCCCCTTGTCATGCAAACTATCAAACACTCTATATATGCTCTTATTAGAACATAAATGATAAATATCACTATAGTATATATTGCTACATGTAATATATTTAATTTACTATATATGTTTACCTATAAGTAATGTGCATCATCTAAGGTGAATATTTACTATATATTTTTATCTATAGGAAATGCACTCCATAACAATAATTTTTATATCTGTACACATAAATCCCAGGGACTTATTCCCCTGTAGCAACAGTCAGGCAGTGCTCGTGGAGTGTAGTGTTGCTGCCCTCGTGCAGGGTTCAGGAAGCAGGTCTGGATTTGCTCCTGTGCAGGTGCTAAACAGCAGGTTCTGGTTTCATTCATCCCAGCACAGAGCAGAGCCATGTGGGGAACATGCTCCAGGGAACAATGGGAAGGTGCCAAAACCCCTGCCCCTGCCAGGAGGTATTAATCCTCCGTGGGGATTAATACCAGGCAGTGGTGATGTCAGGCCCAGGATTATGATTAGAGGAGCTGTAAAGCCAGAGGAGACTCTGAAGTAACTGTCTGGCTATTTTTGTACAGCATCTCCTTGAGATACCTCCAGGGGAGGGCTGGAGTGAGACCTGAATGCTTCAGTCAGCCTCTTCTCCAGCACAGAGCAGCCACTCCAAACTGAATTTGAAACCTGAATCATCAAACCCCAAATTTTTGCCGAGCTTACTGGGATCCTGACAAGTTCAGTTCAGCTTATGAGAGAGAAAATTTGATTTTGAGCTACAGTTTTCCAAACCTGTTTTTGATTTGGGGGAACTAATTGATTCTGAAAAGGACAAGAGCTCTCAGGCTGCAGCACCTTCAGAGGATGTGACATTCAAGTTGGGTACCTGGAAAATGCTACAAACCCTTCCCTTTCTCCACCAATCCCCAAGACTCTGGCTTTGGGGAGGGTGCTGGGAGAGAACTTTCCATTACATGGTGTTTGCCACCTGCCCACCTTACAAAACGTGCCAAGGACCCCTCAGAAGGGAGAGTGACTTTGGATTAGAGGCTTTGCTGGGCCATGTGATTAAGGGGTACATAATGACAGGAGACTGCAGCAGATTAGCCCATCCAGGTACACTGTGTAAAGCTTTAGGGATCACACACAGCACGAACTGCCTTTAGGAAGCGCTCCAGAGCAGCTCCACCTTCAGTGGCTCTTGGGATTCTCCCCTTTTCTGGAATACAAAGAAGTTATGGAGAAGATTTTATAGGATGGTGGATGGCAGGAGGCAGACTTGGCTTCTGAAACACCCTTGCAGCTGCCTTCCTAGTCGGCCCATTTTGGTATCCATATTCCTAAGCTCAGCTGATTGGTAAGGAAAAATCTGCCTTCTGAACTGGCCTGATGCCAGAAGACCTCTTACACCTCCAGTGCTCCTGAGGCCGTGAGCCAGGACAGGGCCAAAGGTTCTGGTTGTATTTCCTGTGATACCAACTCTTGTCTCAGTCCTGCCACACGCAGGGAACAGCAGGAGCCCGAAAGGGAATTAGGAGATGTCCAGCTGGACTTTGAACAAGCCTCTGTCTCAGCTCAGCCATGGCTCGAGGGCATGGCATGGACTGAGAACGCTGTGGCACCAACTGGAAGAGGAATAATCCTTGCCAGTGGGCACAGTCCAGCATCAGAGCCAAAGAATTGTCCCCGTGCCCCCAAATGCTGACACGGGGCCTTTTGTCATGAGCTGTGACAGCTGCAGCATTCCCCACAAGACACGACCCAGCCTGCAAGGGGAGAGGGAGGGGAGGGAATAGGACACAGGACAGAGGTGCCTCATGTCTGCTCTAATGTCCTTTCTTGACCTAAATCGTTGAGGTCAAGGTTTTTCAGACATGAGGAGCAAGTCTGATCATCCACCTGAGACATTACGAGGGCCTGAAATTCCAGGACACCTCTCCCAGTTATTGGTGCCTGAAAATAAACCCCTGAGCGCTGATTTATAACTGCTGGCCTGTCTCACCTCCCCAGTATTTTGTGTGGCTCAGACATTAGCCAGGTACAGAAGAACATCTATTTCCATTAAAGCTCTAAGATTCCAGGAAAGGCTAATCCTGAATCCTGCAGCAAACAGGCTGACATGCATTCACAGAGAGCCACGGGAAATTTGGAGAGGATAAAGGTCTGGTGTCTCATCAGAAGACACCAGAAGATACCTAATGATGTGTGCATCATTAGGCTCACATAAGAAAGTGCAAGAAAAGAGGTCTTTTGATGCCATACCACTGGAAGTTTTAGGCAGAGCAGCATCACCCTCACCAGGAAAACGGCTCGTGTCATTTGTCCTGGCTGCTCCACCGCTGTGCCCACTGGGAAACACTCATCTTCCCTGACCTGGAGAAGGAGCCAGGTGAACATGCAAATCTGCTAAAACTGTTTCCTCTTTTCTGTAATCACTTACACGGATCTTAGTGGCAAAGATGTTTACATAACCAGCACCCTCAGCTCCTGCCAGAGGCTTCCTGGCTCAGGCCTGGCTCAGCTCCGGCACTCAGGGATTAGGAGAGAGCTGCTCAGAGGAGCACAGCAGGCACAGGGACAGGCACAGGGACAGGGACAGGCACAGGGACAGGTACAGGTGTGCTCCATGGCACAGTTCAGCTGGGGAAGTGCTCCTGGTACTGGCCCTAATTGCTGGGATGCCTCCGCTTACTGAGGATGGTATAAACTGCTGCTGCAGTGGCTCCCGCCAGTGCCACAGAGTCTTTGGGACTCCAGCCACTGTCACAGTCCTTGGGCAGAGAGAGGAAGCAGTTACACACCAGGCCAAGCCTTTGGGGCTATGCAGCTCCTTCCCAAAGGAGAAGGTGATATCACCTGGTGATATCCTGGGTACCTCCACAGCACCTGTAGCTCTGCTTCCTCAGGTAACCCCTGTTTCAGTGCTACCAGCTTTCCAGGCACGCTCTGGTATCTTCTTCTGGCCTCCCTTCACGTATAGGCGGAACTTGGTTCCTCAGGAATTACTGTGGGTGCCTGGGAGTGCCCCAGGCCTGCTCAGTTACAAAAGTATCTGAGAAGAATGGTGAAGAATGTGCCTTTCTGACCAGAAAAACAGAGGTAACCAGGGAAAAGCAAATCCACCAAAACCAATGGCACAGTGGAAAAAGAGGGCATCTAATGCTTCTCTTCTTCACTGGTTCTTCTCATGGTCCCCTGATGAACCTGTCACTCCATAATACCTGTTCCAGAGAGGTCACAATGTCCTGCAAAATCCTAGGACCAGGCAGAGACCATCCTAAGCCCTAATCCACAGCCTACCTTGCCTAAGGATGCTCAGCATGGCGTGGGAGAGAGGGGAGATGTTCTCCCACGACTTGAGAAAAAGGTCCACACCACCAGCTACCACAAGGGTGGGTGGAAACACCTCGTATTTTGCCCTGTGGATGCTTTCATCCACTTGAGCAGGGAAGAGCCTCCAGCTGGTACTAACGGGCAGGTTCCAGGGAGCCCCCTCACCCACCCAACAAAATCCCCCACAAGCACAAGGCTTTACCCATCCCTGGCAGTAATCATTTATCTCCCTGTTACAGAGAGAACCACTCAGCCTCAGGAGCTGCTGGCCCGGCCCGGGGCAGACGCCCCGAGGCACCTGCACTCGGGGCATCTCCGCTCGGTGTGTTTGCGGCTCGGACGGCAGGGCAGCCCCGGGACCCGCCCGCGGCCCCGGTGGCACTCGCAGGTAAGAGCCGCGGTGCTCCGAACGCCACACGAGCACCGCGGGGCGCAGGGGCTGTCCCGAGGGCGCTGGCACTCCCGGACCGGCGGGATGGAGGTGGGGAACAAGCCCGGAAAGCGGCTCTGCCCCTCGGTGCTTGGGCTCTCGCCCATCCCACCGCGCAGCCCCGCAACCTTCAGGCTCCGCGGGCAGCATCAAGCCCCCCGTCCCCCCGTAGACCCCCGAGCAACTCTCACCTCGGGAGTAGACGTAGAGGGGCAAGGACGAGGAGGGGCAGCGCAGGTTCGGCCCCGGCGATGGCTGACGAATGAAGTAACGTTGGTGGTGGTCTTGAGCGCCCGTTCGTGCACACTGCTCAGACAGAACCAGCCCGTTCCGCCGACCCGAATGAGGAGGATGAGGAGGACTCCGACACCAGCGCCGGCGAATGCTGTGGCCGGCGGCGGGGCGGGGGTCCGGTCCGTGCCGTTTTCCCATGCCCCGCGGCCGCTGCCCCCCCGCACCCTGCAGGGGGGAGCCGGGCCGGGAGTGCCCGCCCTGAGCCGCGGGGAGGAGCCTCCGCCGCCGCCCCCGCCCGGCCCGGCCCGGCCCCGCGGGACACTGTCACCAAGCGGCTTATGGTGGGCGCCCGGGGGAAGGGGGCAGCTTCCGTGGTGTCCCCGCTCCCCGTGTCCCGGTAATCCCGTCCCCCCGCCGCGCCCCCGGGAGCTCTCACCGCGGTCTCACAGGGTGGTGTTCTCTGAAGCACTGTGAGAGGAAAGACTTGGAATTATTATAGGTTGGGCAGATAACTGGGAAATTGTATGCCAAGGTATGTGCAGAACCTGGTAATGTTTAAGTGTTTATAATTAACCTGAGTGAGGGTCCAGAGAGTCCGTAGCTAAATTACTGCCAAGACAGGATCCTGTGAGCATCTTGGAGCACAGAGTGAGGATTCAAAGTGGTCTTGATAAGCTGGAGAAACTGGCAAATGCAGGATGCAACTCCAAAGGAATTTTGTGCCTTACCTGTGCTTGGGCAGTAATAATCAACTGCAGAAATGCAGGATTGAGGAAGAAAGCAGACAGGCAGCAAGTGTGGGAGCAAAGGGAGGGTGGCAGCTGAACAGAAGGGCTGGGGTGTCTTATTGCTGGAAATGAGAGAAAAATGCTGTTTGAGGGGTACCTGTGCACCTGCAGGGTCAGGCAGGAAAGACAGGGGAGCTGTGACCCCTCATTTCTAGCCCAGATTGCTTGGGAGATGTGGGACCTGGTCCAGACTCTGTGGGCATCTGTCCAGCTGTGCCACCAAGCCTCAGCCCAGATGTTAATGCCAGGAAAGCATTCAGATCAGCCTGGGCTTTGTGGAAGGCACTGGGAAGAGAAGGCATAGCAAGAAAGGGACATTTACACTCCATGGAGGCGGGAAATTGTATTATTGGAAGCTTTTTATAAGACAAGGAGCTTCTAAGATGTATTTATAGGCTCCAGCTCTCGGAGTTTCATCCAAACTGTTGAGACCTGTGGGACAAATCCTATCTCCAGCCACCACCCTTGTTCCCCCCAGTTCCCCACTCTTTTTTGGAAAAGGCCATGGTTACCCTCAGCAGGTGCAGCATGGAAAGGCCAGAGCCCAGGTTTCAGCCATGGGACACCGATCCAGGTCCTTCCCTTGGAGTGGATCAACAGCAGCAGCTCCACACAGTCTGTTCTGGCCCAACAGCCACAGCTCCACAATTCCATACAGGAGGAGGAGAAAATCCCCTTGGTTTAAGCACTTTGCTGACAGTCTGGCTTGCCAAGTTCTGTCTCCAGACGTGTGGCTTCCAGCCCTGTTCTACAGCCACAAGAATGCCATTCCTTTAGTAGCTACAGAGCTGTATCACCCCTCTCTCCCATCCCAGTGTAGGTTTGCCATCCTCACACTGACCCAAATACCCATGGATTTGTCTGTTCATCTCCCTCTTCCAGTGTGCAGAGAGAGAAGAGACACTTCCACCTGCTCTGAGTGGCCCCCAAACTCCTACCAGCCCTGGAGTGGGTACTCACGTGCCTGTCTCTGCATTCCTTTGGAAATGGTTTGTCTTGGACTCGGGTGGGCACAAGTGTGGCTGCACATCCATCATGTCAGGAGCTCGTTTGTGGGACCTCATTTGCTGGGAAGTTTGGACAAGGCAGATGGTTTCCATCACCTGGTCACCACTTTTCCCATCCGTGGTTGGTCCTTAAAACTTGACTTCTGGCACAGCCTCCCCTCAGCAAGGAGTTGGGACAGGATCACTTTTGTTAGAGCCCTTTTTACTCTGAGAAATCAACTCAAATTAGTCCAAGGAGGCCCTGAAGTGCATTAATGAAACTGTGTGGACAGAATACTGTTAATTTATTTATGTTTAAACTACCTGAGCAGCCAAGAGAGCAGGATCGAAGTGTGACTGCTGCCCTGCCTTCCCACAGGGATTAATGCCATTTATCTAATCCCCTTCAACAGTTAATTTACTTTCATTATCTCGATTTTTCCTGTGGGTTAGTGCTGAATGACTCTTGATTCTCAGTATGGAAGCCCATATTCCAGACTAACAGGGCCTTAATCCTAGACAAATTTAATCCTGGCATGGATTAAACTAATGTGAAATAAGGCTTTTGACTTCCAAAAACAAGCAGCCACGCAAAGCACTAATTAGGACAGTGCTTCCATGGCAAACAGGCTGCAGACATTAGACACAATTCCTTTCTTGGATCAGAGCTGCCCTCCTTGCAGAGGAGAAGGAAGGTCTCTCACATCCACATACTGGAAGAGGTTGTCACTGCAAGGAAAAGCAGGAGGCAGAGGACAGAGTCACCCTCGTGGGTCACCCTCGTGGAAAGCAGGAGGAATTGTGTCAAAGTGAGGACTGGGAATGCTTAGAGCACCTTTGGAGAGGCTCTGGTGTGGTTGGTGCTTTGTGACAACCCTTCTTTGCTCGGCTGCACATCCTGCGGTGTCCTGGTTCCCCACCCCGCCGTGAGGGAGCTGCTCCGGGCAGGAGGTGGAGGGGCTGGGGAAGCCACCACGGCTGCTCCTTGTGTCAGGAAAATGGCAGCGCCAGGAAAACACCCCGAGCAACAAAGGAGTGAGACATCTGCCTGGTCTGGGGGTTTGGACTGTTTGTAAGAGAAGCTCGGGGGGATGAGCAGCGTGGTTTGTGGCTGTGGTGGAGCTGGTCCCCTGCCAGGGAGCCCAGAGGGGTCCCCCAGCACTCCCCCAGGATGAATTAATTGAGGATTTGATTCCCAGCCGGTTCAAAGGATCAGGAGAGTGGCAAAGTGAGGCATCTGTCAGAGTCTCCAAAAAGAGATGGAACTTTTATCAACATATTTTCTCACATCTGAGACACTGAATGTTTAAATAGAAAAGTGGAACAATGTGGCTGCCAAAGTTTCAGCACAGATGTGCCAAACTCGGCTGATGAATAGTGCCCTGATAGCCGGGAGCAGCATTCCCGGCTGTCTTCAGGTTCAGGACAAAGGGAGGAAAACAAAGAGCTCTTAAAGCCAATCGTGTTCCTTTGATTTGCCATATTGACAAGGGCAATTCTCTGTGAGAGTCTCGTCGGCAGCAAAGCCGCCCAGCTTTCCAATCTCCTGTAATGCATTTCCCAGAAAAGAGGCAGGGGCAGCATCCTGCCTCAGGTGAGGCTTTGCAGGAGAGGGAGGAGGATGGCACAGCTCTCTGGGCTCTCCGGGCTGCCCAGGCTCTGCCAGTCCCCCTGTGAGAAGCTGCAGGGATTTATGTACACACTGAGTGGGTCTTTTGACATTTACCTTTCTGATAAGTTATGATAAATCCCTGTAAGATGTAAAAACTAATGCTAGTGGTTAGCTGGGGGGATGGAACTATGGAGAAAATGCCTGGATTTTCCATCTTTGCTTGGAGCCAAAACTAGGTGTTTTTGTGGATGCCACATTTCAGCTTAACCCCATCACTGATCTCACACAAGAGTAACCTGGTGATATACAAGGGATACGAGGGTTTGTGGCACAAGGCAGATCAAATAGCATAGTTCAAAAGCCCCTACTGGTTTTAAAACGTCAGTGAGTTTATTTAAGTCACTTGTCAGGGAAAACCTCCTAGGCAGGGGGAGAAGTGGAAGGCAACACAGGCAGAGGAAGGCAACACAGGCAGGGAAGGGCATGCCTGGGAGCAGCAAGCACCTGTAAATGCAGCTCCCTCCACCCTCCCCTTGACAAAGCCTGCTCCTGTTCCCCTGGAAGGGGTGCCCTTTCACAAAAAGCCCTTTCCTGCTCCCCTGGAGGTCCTTGCAGGTCCCTGGCAAAGGCCAGGGGGGGATGCAGTCGAAGCAGCCGCAGCAGCTGTGCCAGGAGCTGCTGTGCTCAGTGCTGGCATGGCACACCTGGCACAGCTGGGTGCCGTTCTTCTCATTCCAGTGAATTCCCTGAAGTGCTTTCCCCTCTTTCCCAGACACAGCAAACAGCTGGAGGCCAGGATTGCGCCGCTGATGCCACTTGGAGCCGTGACAGGGCCAGAACACACAGGGGAGTTCTGTGTGCAGGGACAGGGCAGCTGCCAGCTGGGCCGGGAGCAGTGCTGGGCCAGGAGGGCAAGGATGGCCAGAGCAGCCCTGGGAGGAAGCCACCCAGTCCTGTCCCACCATGTCCCTGCAGGGGGATGAGTTGTTCCACCTGTGCAGCCACCCCGGGGACACTGCCTGGGGGCAGGCAGGGTGCTCCCGCTTGGGCAGCACTCAGAGAGGTTGGGAGGGAGTTCCAAAGGGTGTAAAGGTCAGCAAGTGCTTGATGGGAGCAGCAGCTCGTCTTTAAAAGGCTCTTTGGTCTTCTGTCCTTGGCCTGGGATGATGGTGCCAGCCATGGAGGTAACCAGAGTGTCCAGCACCTTCCCTCCTGGTTTCAGAGCAAGTGGGCACACTCCAGGTGTGTCCCGTGACCATACAGGACTGTGATCTTCCTCTTCCTTCTCCCAAGCCCACCTACAGCTGCCCTGCTCACCCCTTGCTGCCATCCCGCTCTTCCCCCTTGCAGCCAAAATCACAAAATCAGGTGGTAAAGATTAAAACCACTCCTGAAAGCATCCTGTGCAAGAAAGGAGCATTTAGAAGGCTAAATCCTCCAATCCCCTTATTCCAATTAGGGTCCTTTCTCTTACAGAGCTGGGAGTGATGCAAGGAAATGCCTCCAAGCTGCTCCCCGCTGGCAGCAGCGTCACCGTCAGCTCAGGGCCTGGGCAGGGCTTACCTGCAGACACACAGAGACAACCCCATGCCCACATGGCCTCACACAGGTATGGCAAGGAGGGGAAAAGGGAATGGGGGAGGTAGAAGTTCCTGAACAGCCCCTAAGCTGATTAAAGGGTATTTTACGTAGGCAGGGTTTAGCCGTGCAGCTCCTCGTACCATCTGACCTCAATAAACTTCCCCTGCCGTGGGCGGGGCCTGCCACTGGATGGGGCACAGCCTGTGCTGGGCTCCTCAAAGGCTGGCTGCCCCTGGACAGCTTCCTCAGGACTGGGGACACCACTGCTGGATGTGTGGAGGATGAGATGGTCCCTCCCCAGCCTCCTCAACCTGGCTTAGCCCTTGTGCTCTTTGCCATTCCAAAGCCACAGACCTCAGGGAGCCATGCAGAGGCTGTGGGAGCATTTGGGGATGTGGTGTCTCCATGAAGAAGAGCAGCTCCAGCAGATCCTGGGGCTTGGACTGTGGATAGGCTGGCAAGGATTGGACAAACCTTGTAAGGGCTGCCCAGGATAAACAGCAACCCCAAAGGCTGGGTGGGCTTTCCTGCTCCAAGGCAGGAGCAACAGTGTCCACGAGACAATAGCAACATTTATCCAGCCTGTTCTTATGAGTGCAGCCACAGAGCTCCTCCAGTCAAAGGTCTTTTTTGATCTCCTGTACCGATTTCTTAGGAGTGTGAATGGAAATATCTTCCTTTCAGAATTTGGACTTACCTTGCAGAGCTCCGAGTGCTGATTTTGGAGAGTCTGTCTGCATCCTCCCTGTGGTGTGGGTCAGGATATGCAGCTTTGTGATGAAACCCTCTCTTTTCCAAAGTGCAGTTTTCTGTCTTTACCTCCACCACAGAAAAAGGTAATCTCTTAAATATTGCAAAATTTGGGACTAAAACATTTATTGTGGTCCTGAGATGCTGCATTTCACACTGTAGGTTTGGTGAGCCCTCCTGCTGTAAAGAGGAGGAAAAAGGCCTTCCTCAGTTCCACTCTCAGCTTGGATGCCTTTGGGACAGGTCACCTTGGGAGCAGGAACCAGAGCTTGGGTGTTGCAGGGGGGTGGCCCCTCTGTTTCATAATGTCTGCTCTCTGCTGCTCACGAGGGTGTCCCCAGCCATCAGCGTGGTGCTGGGAATAGCCCTGGCATCCGTGGCAGCTGGATTTACTTAATGCATGCCACCACAGGGCTCTGCACCCTGGGCATGTCAGTTGGTGTCACCTTAAGCACAGGTGACTGCACAGAGATCCTGGTGGCTTTACAGCTGGCAGTGTCCCCAGGGCAGCTCAGGGGTGGCCCCATGGCCATCACACGTCCTTTCTCCATCCTGTCCCAGAGCGTCTCTCCCTGCCCTCTCCAAGGAGTGTGGATGCACACTCAGCACTCCTCACTTTGCTCCAGCCCCTTAGAGCAGTGTTCTGTCCCATGGGCTGGTGGTGGCTGGGATCAGTGCAGCCCTGACTTCCTGAGGCTGCAGGTGGGACAGCGGAGCAGGAGCAGGGCCCAGGTGAGGCCAGCAATTCCCTGTATCATTCCTAGAACCAGTGCTGAGGAGCTTTTCTCTGCAGTGATACTGCAGAGATGGTGGGTTACATGGGTGATTTAATCCTGCTTTGTACCTGCTGGATGCAGGTGAGGGGAATCTCCACTCCCACTTGGAACGTTCTCACAAATGGAGAATGGGAGCAGCAAGGTGCAGATTCCCAGAGCTCAGATCAGTCAATATTGCTGAGCAGGATCCTTTATCACTCCTGCTTCCAGAATCTCCTGATGAGTGTTTGGTGCTAATTCTGGTTAAGGAAAATCAGATGTTGTTTCAGGACTGGGGATTTGGTTTGGGCTCTAGTTTATTCCTGTATAAATTTCAGCTTGCAAATGCTTTTGAGTTCCCTTCATGGCCCTGAATTTCTTCATCAAGGTCTCAGAACCTGCGTTTGAGTTTGAGCCTGTGGTTGGCACCTGCATTAATTGCAGCATGCTGGGCATGGCTACACAGTTTTCTACCCCACCACCTTTTCACTCTGCCAGTGCTGCTGGAGGCAAATCCCATTTTTTGTACAAAGTAGGTAAATCAGGTTACTTAGAGCACATTCTTCCAGTCTCCAGAAGCTTTTACTGTCCTATTATTCACCCTCTGCTGCCATCATGGGGCCACTTTGTCATTCCGACCTCTTCTCTATCCTCTCATCCATACTCCCATGGCAAACTGAGCTTCCTCAGAGCTCGGGGGCATTTCAGACCCATTGAGGTTATTTGCAAAGGAAGGGAAATCACATCAGTAATTTTTAGTTCCCTACATGTTGTTCGGCCTTTATAAACATTCTTTCTTCCTTGCCTTGCTCCTCCACGGGTTTTCTCAGCTGTGGGTGTTTGGCAACACCAGGAGCCCAGGTTGAAGTGCCACCACCATTCCCATGTCACCTTTACCTGCAGCACTTGAGACGAACCAGCTCCAACCCCCAGCAATGGCAGGGAATATATTCAGGATGTTTTCCATGTGTGTTTATGTATGCTGCTTTTTTAGAAGCTGTGACAGAGTCTGTTCTCAGCACACCTTTCCCAGGTGAAACCACAGCTCAAAAGGTGTTGTCCCCTCATGCAAAAGTCAGCCCTGATCCTACTGAGCAGACAACAGTTGCCCTATAAAAGTGACATGTCATTCAGTCAAATCACTGGGGCACACAGGGACTCACCAACAGATCCTGGCAATTGCAAACACAGCCCAAGCCAGCATTAAAAGAGAAGAACAGGAGATTAAGCTCCTATCAAGAGGTAATTAAAGCTGGGAGATAATGATGACAATCACAGTGAATCAATTGGTACAGGGATGTTTGCCCAACAAACGACTGTCGTTAGAGACAGAAGCAGGAATTATTATCCATCAGCAGAAATAGTCCATGGAATTGCTGTGAATGACCCCATCAGGTAATTAAAGGGGCATTCCAGCCCCACTGCATTGTTTGCTGTTAATCATGATTGCTCATATTCATAGCTTTACCCAAATAATTGCTCCTGATAAGGGCAGCACATTTATAGGGGACCACAAGAGGAATGGGCCAGTGGAGCATCAGCAGCGAGCCACCCACCATCGACCAGGGTTGGTGAGTCCTGCTGTGCTTCCCCCCTCTTTCAGCTTTGGGGGGTGGATTTCAGACCTCTGAGACAAAAGTTATGCCCAGAAAGAGAAAAGACAAGTTGATCCACTGGATTAGCAGCCAGAAAGTTTTTGGAGTGGAGGGAAAGTCTGGAGCCAGGGATGGGATTTAAAATGGGCTCTTAAGTATGGTTCTCCCAGAGAAATGCCATCCCAGGGATAGCACAAGGAAGGCCACAATGCCGAGGTGAGATCCTGGGGGTCAAGGCATCTGTGGACAGATGGAAGGACAGGCTCAGGATCCAGGTTCCCCTTCCCCAAGGGTGTTGAGCTCTGGGTTTGGTGGCTGTTCTCAGCTCCTCTGCAGGACTGTGGAGTCTGCCTAGTTTGGACTCCAATAAGAGACTGACCTTGGAAATGTCCTTGTTTTCCTATTCCATCTCCTCAAAGCTGAATCAGGCAGGAAAACACAACATTAAAGCTCTAAGTGTATGTGAGATGAAGCTTGTGACTCCTTCATCCTCTCACCTGTTTGCTCTGCAGCCATCATTAAATATTTGTGCTGTGGTTTACACTGAATGAATTTCTGGGTAAATCCCCCTTCTTGTCCTTCCTCCTCCTACCTCTTCTCATCTTGCAGCACCTCCAGAGCAGCAAACAGTCCCAGGAGGGTGGCTGGAAAGTGTTCAAGAATCTCTGACAGTCCTTTCACATCCTTTGTACTGTCTAGTTTCAGAATAAAGTAAAAACCAAGTGGGAGAACTTTGATTTGGGGTTAGTAAGTGCTGCCTGAGAGACTGCAGGACAGTGAGGAAGGCTGGTTTCTTTGCAGGAGGAAGGCAGGTGTGTTATAAATTCCGGATACGGCTCCTGTGTGGTCCTTGGGGAAAGGTGAGCACCCTCCTACAGGCACATACCCACCTCTGCAGGCACAGGGCAGAGCCTGGGAACAAAGGGGGGAAGCATGCAGTGGCTTGGGATAAACCAAATGTACTTTTCTTTTTATTTCAGTAAGAAAACAAACTAGGGGGGGTCTGCAGTGACTGAAAATGTTTGTTATTTCTTTTTCCTTCTTGAAAGATTTCAGGAGAGGACATGGTTTCCATGATGACAACTCTGTGGCAAGTCATTATTCCCATGATTGTCCTGTCCCACTTCTCAGCATCTCTGCCATCCCGGGAGAGGTGAGCGTTCCTTGGGACTCTACCTCCTTTTCCCCCATGGTTTTTGTTCAAAGAGCCTGCTGGTTGTAAACCCAGCCTTTTATCTGCCTTCCTGAACTTGCATCTGCTTGGCTGTGGATTTTGGCTTCCCTACATTGATTTAGTTAAATGAGTGCAAATGTTGTAAAGATTTTTTTTATTGCTTGAGAATGGGAATGTTGATTTGGCTTAATGAAAGAGAAAATTCATGATCCCAAACAGAACGAAGTAAGTTAAAAGGTCACTTTGGAGTCTGTTTTCCTGCTATGTAGTTACACAGCCTGATAGAGGTGGAAGTTTATTTCCAATAGCCTGGCCCCATGAAAACATAGCCAGAAATAGCCAACACTGTAAGTTCACCAAGTTCACTAAAGGAGTCACTGGCAAGGGCTGGTCTTTGTCACCACTGCTGTTATCTACCTGCTCCTCAGGTTTGTGTCTCTGGGTGTTTCTTTATTACTTCTCCAGTCTCTTGCCCTACTCTTTTGTGCTGAGCCAGCACTAACCTCACATTCTCACATCCTTGTGGCAAGGTGATTACATCACTAAAAGCAAGTGCAGGTCGATTTTCCGTGTGATGGTTAACAAAGATATTTTTTAGACTCCCGTAAGGTTTTCCCTTTTTTTGGTGAAACTTTGCCAAAATAGCACAAATTCTTGCCCGTGTGTGTTTGGGACCCTCTTTCCTTGAGGGAGCAGTGTTTAATGCCTGTTCTTGTCTGGTTTTAAGCCTCTCCTCCCTCTCAGTCCCCCCAGGATGGAGCGACATGCTGACGGGCTCTTCCACAGCGAGCTCAGCAAGATGAACGGCAACGCCTACGTGAGGCAGCTGGTCAAACACCTGGTGGGCCTCAAGGAGAGGTGAGCACCAGCCAAACCCACCCTGTGGGGCCAGGGAGTCTCCAGAGGGAGAGGGATCCCAGCACCGAGGGCTGCCAGGGGCTGAGCAGCCGCTGTCCGTGTTCCCCTGGCCCAGGTCCCAGAGGCACTCGGATGGGCTGTTCACCAGCGAGTACAGCAAGATGAGAGGGAATGCCCAGGTGCAGAAATTCATCCAAAGCCTCATGGGCCGCAAGCGCAGGTGAGGGGAAACCTCTGGGAGCCCCCGTGCCCCCCGTGGCTCTCACTGCCACGCTGGGCCCCCTTGAACCACGTTGGTGACACGACAGCAGCAGACACGGGGCACATGCTGCTCTACAGCTGTGCTGCTTACACTGTTGTGGTTTGGGGGGTTTAATTATTGTTAATTTTCTTTAATTATTCTTAATTATTATTCTTAATTATTATTACTTTCCAGCTCTCCTGGCCCGGTCAACACAGATGTGCAGGAGAGAGAGGGAGAGAACAGCCCTGCAGAACTTTGCTTTCTCTGGTTGTACCAGAGCTTTCTGAACACCAGGTAGGTGGGACAGATTTGTTCCCTCTGTGGCCCTGAGCCCCATAGTACTGAAGCCAAAAGTTTTTATAAAGCTAAATGCTTTTATAAATGGCCCTAGAAAAACCAGTTATTAAAAATGATAAGACCCACAGAAATGAAATAATATCTTTTTCTAATCATAGAGTTGTTATCCTGGACTGCAGTAATTATTCATCCCATTAGGAAACCCAGCCTAACAGTTAAAATGGAAAGAAAACCTTTGCTACCCTGTCAAACACACTCCTGAGGATCCTAGCACCTGGATATTGTCTTTTCCTAGTGACCAACCACTTTCACTAAGTCATCTCACTCTTAAATCCCTAAAATTAGGAGGAATACACTGGCCCTTACTACCTCTTGACCACAGTGGGGATGAAACCCTGCTGTGCCTTTGTGGGGCGCCTGGCTGCAGGCAGTCATGGTCCCTCTATCCTTGAATTTCACAAGGCAGCTTTGTCACACTTCCTGCAGTCCAGGCCTCCAGGAATAAGGAACTCTCCCTCCTTTTTCCCTCCCTGCAGCCTCTCAGACAGAGATGCCTGGGAAGCTGCTGCCATCAGCAGCCGGTACGTTTGCCCCATCTCTAAGCCACTGGTTGCAGACATGAAGGAAGATACAGATGATTCTGCCTGAAGGTGAAGGGAAAAAAACAGCCAAGGAGACAGCTTTGCATGTGTATGGCCTTGAAAATAAACAGGGAAGCTCTTGAATTTGCTTAGGAAAAACTTTTGAGATTGGCAAATAAATAAAAATAATCGTGGAAAGCAGCCAAAACCCGATGAAACCTCTTAGATTACCCAAAGTGAAATGTGTGTGGGTGTGAACTGCTGTCAGTAGATGGAGCCTGGGTGAAGCACATCCCTTCCACTGTGTGTTGGCTTCTGGCTGCCCGCTGCTGCTCTCAAATAAAGATTGGTTAGCTGTGCCTGTGCCTTGGCTCCTCTTCGGGAAACTGGAAGAAGGGTGGTACCTTACCCTTGGAATGCAGGGTCTGGGGAGGAGCACTGTGCCGGGATCCCCCACACGAGGCACGTTGGGAGTGCCCACCGTCCAGCTGTGCACAGAGTCAGAATCCATGGAGCAGGAACTCAGCCAGGTGTTAGATTCTGTGGCAAAGAAATGTTCTGAGAGCTACACAACAGAGATACTCACTGTAAATGGTATTTCCGCTCCATTCTGCCCCTGGATTTGCTGGCCCAGCTTTCTCAGAGCCACTAAAGACAGAGTTCCACGTGGGGGAATTTGTTCCCACCACTTAACGAGGTTTACATGCTGTTGACATGCAGATCCCCTCCTCTGATAGAACAGCCACTCCAGCTTTCCTGTAAAACCAACAGATTCTGGAGAGCAGCTCTAAAATAAGGATCTTCAGCTGCAGTCCTGTGCCGAGCACAACCCTGCTCAGCCCATCCTGCTCCAGCACTTTTCACCATCTATAATGTACCTGACACCTGCAAAGGAGCCCTTCCCACTCCAGTGCTCACCTAAGCACCATTCACTTACTGAGGGGCTGAACAAACCTCAGCAGTTGTTTATTTTGGTCCATAGGAAGTCTCTGCTAGGAAAGATTCCTCTTGGAATACTTTCAGAAGGAGTGTTGACAGCCTGGATTCCATTGAGCCACTAACAGCCACTTGGCTGAGGTGCAGCAGATGAGACCCTTCTGAAATCAGCTGGGAATTTAAAAGAATCAGTGAGAGCAGAGGTCCCCTGGAAGGGGATTCTGGGAGGCATCCCTACAAGGAGCCACTGCTGGCCACTGGTAGAAGGAGGTGTGTTTTCCCTACAAAGTTGCTGGGCAATTCCTGGGCTGCCGAGTCTCATCCCTGTCAGGATCTACTCTGCTCACCTTGTGGGATACAGACCCCATCTCTGGCACATCAGAAACCTTCCCACTGGGAGAGCCTGGAGAATACAGGCAGCCTCCCAAGTGCCAGCCCTTGTCCTTCATGCTCATCTCAGGGGGGAGGGCTTGGCCCTGAGTTCTGAAATGCTTCAAATACATTCTTGTTGCCACGAAGAGTTCAGGATAGGAGAAACCCAGGGAAAAAAGAAGAAATAGGAATGTACGTGTCATCATGTTCCATGACTGGTAAATCTTTCAACAACTCACCCAATGAGGCAAGGAGGCAAAGGTTGAAGCTCAGCAATCCAGTCCAGTCACTGTTTCTGCCGTCACAAAGCCGTGAGCGCGGGAGACGGCACCGGGAGAAACAGGGAGAGAGGATCAGCTTAGCCAGGAACAGGGATTCTTCAGCGACTGGCAGCTCTCCATGGCTGTTTCTCGCTGGCTCCTCACACCTGTGCTCGTCCTGCTGCCCCTCATGACAGGGGTTTCAGCACAGCAGCAAGGTAAGCTCCTGCAGGAGGTCTGTGGGCCCTGGCAGTGTCCCCAGGCAGCGGTGGGATAGGCTGGGAGGTGGTGGCTTTGCTCAGTGACTTCACCCCAGGGGGACCGGAGCGGTCTTGGCTCTCACCAACTCCTTCCCAGTGGGAATCCCCAGGCAGCTTCCCATCTCATTTGTGTGTCTTTCCAGGATGTTCTGTCAGTAACAGCAATCCGAAAGTTCCTGAAAACAACCCTGTTAACTACGTGGTGACCACCATCTACGTGCAGCCAGGCTTCACCGTCAGCATCGACCCCCGGTTCCCCGACGGCAGTTTCTTCACCATCCAGGGGGATGAGCTGCTGCTCACAAAGGTGGTGGACTATGAGGTGAGTCACTGCCTGAAGGGACGGACAGGAAGGGTGGAGAGGGGCTTTGGACAAGGGCCTGGAGTGATGAGAGGGAATGGCTTTACACTGACAGAGGGCAGGGTTAGATGGGATACTGGGAAGAAGTTTTTCCCTTTGATGGTGGGGAGGCCCTGGCACAGGTTGCTCGGAGAAGCTGCTGCTGTCCCATACCTGCAAGTGTCCAAGGCCAGGTTGGACAAGGATTGGAGCCGCCTGGGATAGTGGAAGGTGCTTTAAGGTCCTTTCCTACCCAAACCATTCTGTGATTCTATGACCTTGTGTGAAACTGAAAAGCAGCATAAAAGGTCACTGTTCATTTAGGTTGCTGCTACATTCTTTTACCTCACTGGAGTGCTCTGTGTACAGCCACAACCATCCTTAAGTTCCCTTTCAATGTAAAACCCCACATTTATTTGAGTCAAGAGCAGCAGCCAGAGTTAATACCCTGCAGGCGACACTGTACTTGCCACATGGAACGTTTCTGATTCATTCAATTTAAAAAGAAATCTCTGTTTGAATTCACCTAAGTGGGAGAAAATGACAGGTTAGCTCTGTCAGCATCTTACAGGATAAGCAGGGAGAGAGGCTGGAAGGTTGGGCTGGTTTGACTCCATCCCAAGATCCCAGCACAAAGGAAAGAAAGGAAAAGTTAGGTACACCTAAAACCAAGATACAGCCCATCAGCATTTCTGATTCAGCAAAGCATAAGTTTGGGTCATTTGCTTTGAAGGAGTTTGCACATGTTGGCTGTTTCTGCAGTGGTGGGTTTGTGTTTCCTGCAGGAAGACCCCCTGCTGGTGGTGTACCTGAACTGTGAGGACTCTACTGGCCAGGTGAGCCCCAGGATGAGGAACTGCACCCAGCATGTGCTTCCCTCTGCTCTTCCCACACAGGCATGGGGAGATGTCCTTCTCCCTGTGGGCACACACACTACACTCCCAGCTCCATCCAGCCCCCACCCAGCTCTGCTCCTTACACCATCCCCTCTGGTCACTCTGCAGACCAGGAGCAGCCCCAGCAGCCTCTTTCTGGCTCTGATCCTCTCCCTTTGCCCGTTCTGCAGAGCGATTCTTTGGAAATCATTGTCACCATTCTCAACCTGAACGACAACGATCCGCAGTTTCAGCAGCCGAATCTCACCAGGTCTGTCCGAGAGGTGAGTGTGTCTTGGAATGGAAGAGGGCACTGGGTCACTCAGTGCTGTGGGACTGAGGAGGGGTCAGCAGGGAGAGGTTTCAGCCCATTTCACACAGAGAATAACCCCAGCAATGTGTTTTCTCAGGATACAGAAGTGAATGCAACCATTGTAGCCCGTGAAGATTTAACTGCTACTGATGCTGACCTGGACATCATCTACTATGAACTCACAGCCACAGTGCAGGTGAGCATCTCTGGGCAGAAAGAGTAGCTCTGGAGAAGCTGGATTCAGAAGAGCCCCAGTTCTCAGGCAGAGGTCATTGCATTTAGCTCTCATCTTTTACAAACCCCAAACATTTATTTGGTTAACAGAACAGAGCCATCAATGCTGTAGGTATTGAATTCTCTCACTGCTCACACTTTTATTGCACTGTACAGATTAAATTTTCATCTGGGATATTCAGAGCCATAAAACTCAGGGAAGTCTTGTTGGGATGATCTGTAAACATATCAGGAGACCTTTGTACCTCAGGGAGCTCAGAATTGCACTGAGTCAGATGGGAAATGGAGTCCTTGCCCTGTTTGCCAACGGAAATGGGTTGTGCACACAGTCCCTGATGCCAGCCTGGAGTGCAAGGGCTGGCTAGAAACTAAAAATAAAAGCAAATTCAAGAGAACCCCCAAATGTATGTTTGCACTTTTGAAAAGCATTGTGGGGGGAGCAGACAGTGCCTGACACTTGCATCCGTTACCTCCATTACCCCAGGGGTTTTAGGGGCTGGGAACAGAAACCACCAGTTTCTGCATTTCAGCTCTGGGACCAGACTTTGCATTCACACTGGTGTAAATCGAGAGGACTGAGAAACTCAAAGGAACTGTAGACAAGGCATAAGATTAAAGGAGAGCCAAAGCAAATGCAGAAGGCTACAGAGTAAATTGCAACATACGTTACTTCAGTTTGGCTTTACAGTTTCTTCCAAAATCCAGCTGCATTAGGCTAAGGCAGGTGATCCTGCCAGCCCTCAGAGGCTGAGCCATCTTTGGCCTGTTTTTTGCATGAAAGTGAGATTCCTTGGCTGTCAGGGACCAAAAATGAAGGCTTGTTGGCAACTTGTTGAGTGTAGGAAATAAATGAGGTATGAGATTTCATCCAGGAGGAGGAACACACCTTTTGACAAGCCAGGCAACTCCAGTGTGCGGTAGCAAAGATTAAATAGATCCAGCATTCCCACACTGCCCCCCCAACCAGTTCCCCAGGATTAAAGGTACAATTGAGATGACAAACACAGCAATGACCAGGATTTGAAACATTCTGTGACTGAGTCTGCTACAGGATTTTTCCTTTTCCCTTGCCAGGGCACAGACGGTTATTTTGCCATAAAAGGAGTTAATAACCCTGAAATTTATTTACAAAAAGCACTGGACTATGATAAATTTCAATCAACAAGGTTGCTGTTGTATGCAAGGGTAAGTCCCTGGGGAGGAACAGAATGCCTCGTTAGCCCGGTGTCTTTTACCTGAAGGGTGAGTTTGGATGGGAGATCTCTGGGGTGGCAGAGGGAGGGTGGGTGGTGGGCTTGGAGCAGCCTTTCACCCTCCACAGTTACAGGGACAGACTTGCAGTCAGCCCACCTTTGCCAGCAGAAGCAGACAACCCAGTTCTTCAGCCAATCTCACATAAATTTCTAAGCCTTAAACAGAGTGGAGTGACAAGGGCTAAAGGACCCTGGGCCACTGCTTGTGGCAGGTGGGCCCTTCTTTGGCAATAAAACTGATGTCTCATGAGTGTGCTTTGCCTTTGGCTCCAGGACAGGCCTGTGGGCAGCGCCGACCTCACCAGAACAGCTACTGCAACAATAACCCTCCTGATCACCCAAGCAGACACCAGAGCACCCTGGTTCCTGCCCTGTGCCCTCCTCCACAACGACACCAGTGTCTGCATCAGCAGCCCCTACTCCGGGATCGTCAACATCTCCGAGCTGGCGGTGAGCAGGAGCCACCAAACAGGGCCCTCATGCTGTTCCCAGTGGGAAGTGCCTGGTAACCTCCAGGAGCTCCTGCTGGTCTCCAGTTACAGTGCAGATGGTTCAGCAGGACAGGGAACCTTTGTTACCCCAGAAGGTGGAATTCCCCACCCCAGGCAGCACTGCTGCTCCTGCAGCACCCCACTCCCAAGGCTGGCTCCCCTCCGCCCTGTGCCAGCCATCTGGCAGCCATAAACCCCATTCTGCCCCCACAAAGCCACTGGAGCCACGCTGGGATGGGAGAGAGCCCCAACTGCTGATTTAGTGCTGGTTTGTGGCATGTGAGGCTGTGCCTTCTCATTGCAGGTGGAGCCACTGACCCTGAGACCAGGACCCATCTATGCCGTTGATCCCGACTACACCATAAACGAGAAGATCGTGTACAGCATCGTTGGGGGTGAGTGGACATTGTCACATTGCCACCTTCCCCAAAAGAGCACTGCTCAAGTGCCCTGCAGTACCAAGAGCAGGTACCCCCATGGCATCTCACTGAGAGCCCCTGTCTGTGCCACAGAAACACTGTGAGATCCACAGAACACTGTGGATTAAGTAGAATAAATAGTCTGTACAGAGAGGAAGAAAACGAGATTTACAGTCCCTCAATCCAATCTCAATGAAATCGGGGTTTATGGGAGGTGAGACATGTCTTATCTTTAAGTTTTTAGACATGATTTTGCCAGTCTGGTCATGCCACTTTCATTCAGTCTTCAAGCTGAACCTAAAATTCTCACTTTAGCAGCATAATTTTCATGCAGTGCCAAGAATTGTGTTTTTATTCCCCGGCACATTGCCACTGCCTCATCTGCCCTGTGTTAGTCTTGATTTCAAGAAGATCACTTGAATATAGTCAACTGATTGCCAGTCATTGATTGGGCCCTTTAAGTCAGTCAAAGGATTTATTTTTTTATTTTATTTTAGCAGTAGTGGGGTTCTGCATAGTTATCAAGGCAAAGGTAGAAGCTGTTGGCCAGATGGAGTGCTGCTCTCCCTTTAGCTGTGCCTCATTCAGCAGTGAATATCTTTCTGACAACAACACATCAAAGAACCCTAAATTCCACTGGCACTTTGGATGCATGTGGCCTCCCCACCCCACAGGCAACAGAGGGCCCCAGTCTGGGGGTCGTTGTCTAAACAGAGCCCACAATGTCTTGGAGTGAGGAAGAGAACTAAAAATTCTGCTTATATTTAAACACGTATCCAACACAGGTACTTTTATGATTCACACACACATGTAGGAAGCTGATTTCTACCCCTACATCAATACAAGGTTTGTGTCTAGACTCCCTTTGTAGCCCGTAGAGAGAAATAAGCATTCCCAGAACAGAATGGGAACTGGATAGAGACTTCCAGTCCTCAAATTGCACCAGAGGCTCTGGGCATTTATCAGAATTTAAACCGACAATATCTGGGCCCAGGCACTGGAAATGCAAAGCTTTGCTGTCCTACCTCATTTAATTGGGTTCACACAAGTGTGTTGTATCTCTCTGAGTCCTTGGACAGCACTCCCATCCTTGGAGCAGCCAGGCAGGCAAGGACAACAGCACTTTGTCCTGGGGATATTGTCATGAAGATGTAAAAGAATGAGTCTGTGAGCTCCAGGTCACTTTATGAAGGAATTTGATGATTGAATGGCCTTTCCATTTTCCCCAGGGAATACAGATGAAGTGTTCTCAGTGGATGCAGACACGGGGAATCTAACTATGAACAAAATAGTGACTTCCCCAGACTCCTTCCTCTTGCAGGTCATGGTAAGTGATGCCATTGCAGACAGTCACCCAGCACAGCTGGATTTTTAGGAAGCAGCAGCCAGGATGTGATAGGAGTCAGTGATGTTCAGAATAACTGTTCCTCCCTTCCTTTTGGAAGGGCCCAGTATTTGACCCATGTCTTACACCAACCCACATGCAAAGCCCTTGCAGCAGTTAAGAGACTTCTCCCTCATGGGTGGTGACAGCAAAGGAAAGTCACAGAATGGGGACATCCTGCTGAGCTGGGGTTGCATCAGGCCTGTCTTTTCATGTCTCCTCACAAGCAGGGGAAGCATCTCCCTGGCATCTGTCTCTCTTCCTCCCCAGGCCACCCAGGCCAACAACGTCCGGAAATACTCCGTGGCCACCGTAGAGATAAAGGTCATCAACAAGAGCCTTTATCCCCCACACTTCGAGACAGGGCTCTACAGCGGCACCGTGGTGGTTGGACTGGCCCCAAGGAGCTTTGTCTTCCAGGCTGGAGATCCTTCCACCCCCCTGACGATCACGGCAGCCGACGAGGACTTCCCTGATGTAAGAGACTGGAAATGCACCGTGTTGGGCTCAAAGCAGGATTAGGAAACAGGAGGAAGGGGAGGTGGGGAGAGGCAAACACATGTTTTCCTCTAGTATTCCATATTATATTTCCTTGGAAATTCCACACAGATCATACCACTTATGGTGTGATGTAATGAGGAAAAGCTGCTGGACCCCCCATCTTCCAAAGCCAGTCCCATATGGGTCTCTTGCATAGATGTATTTTGCTTGGGCAAATAGTAAAGTTACCAGTAGAAGCTGGGTAAGACTTGGGAATTTTTTTGAGGTGTTTGTGATGCTCTGAGCACAGGGTGAACACAGGTGAGTTCAGCCTTTCTCAGCTGCTCAGTGCAGATTTATTTTTTGCACCACACACCTGCTTGTACCTCAGGTGTCTTGGACAAGTGCTGCCAAGGGGTTGTTAGGAAGGTGCAGGTGGAGCAGAATGTGGTTTGAGCATCACTCTCTGGCTTTTCAGAAATTCAACCCAAACATCGAGTACTACATCAAAAACAGCACCGATTTCATCGCAACCAGAGACGGACTCATCCTGACCAACGTGGTGCTGCAGTCCCCAGGGACTGTGGCCATCGAGGTAGGGCAGCTTTCTTCTTTATTTTGTCAGCCCTGTGCAAAGAGGGGGAATTCCAGTGCTTTGTTTGCTGGGGTCAAAGGAAGCAGTTATTAACTTTAGGCTTTGAAAGAAGCTGCCTGTTCCCTTTGTCCATCTGCCTGCCAGCTCCAATGGGGTCCCTCAGGCTTGCTGGCACAGTGCCATGCCCTGTGGAGCTGTCTGAGCCAGCCTGACCACAGCGTTGCTGTGGCTACACAGGCAGGGCACAGAAGGGTTGCCAACACACACTGCTCCTGCCCCACATCACCTCAGTACCTGTGCACTGCACCCTGCTGGGAACTCTGCACAAAGCACGGACCTGGGTCAGGTCATCCACTCCCAGCACAGGGAGTCTTCAGAGCTCTTCCTCCTCTGTGACCAGGCTGTCCAGCCCCTGTGCAGGGCTGTGGTGAGGAGATGGACAGGATACTTTGTCCTCAGAGGGCTCACCCCCAGACCTGGAGGGTGAGCTGGAGATTTGGAAGTGCCTAAGCCTCTCTTTCCCATGTTCCCATAGGCTGTTGGAAGAGATGTGTTGAGCCTGCAGGAGGCAAGCACTGTAATTGAGGTGGAGGTCCTGCCGGCCACAGGTAGGCTGGGGGCTCTGGTTTCTGCTCTGTGGAGATGACTGGGGAGTCTTTTCTGCTTCTCTGGGCAAACTGGCCATGAGAATCACCTGCTGAGTCTGCAGGCCTGGGCTGAGGCCAACCCCATATTTGCAGGGGCTTTAACAGAGAAAACACTCCAACAACATCCTTACACACCTCAAACAGCCTCCTGAGACTTTAAGTGGTGCTGTTTATTGTGGTGCCTTTTCTTGTTATTGCAAAGCTAAATCTGGGGCTGATTCATGCTGGGAGATAACCCAGGATGTCCTATCATGGCAGGGGAGGGTTGCCCTGAGACCTTGGTACCTCCCTGCTCCTTTTAAGCCAAACACAGAGAAAACTGCAATGTTCTTGCCTGTCTTAGGCCCAGCAGAGGGCAGTTGGCACTCCCCAAAGCCAGGCTTGCCCGTGAGCCAGGGCATTTTCTATTCAGGTCAGGTTCTTTTACCCCAAGACTTTATGGTCTAACCAGAAGAAATAACCCATGAGTAATAAGGTAGACATGAGGCTTCATACGTAACCCTCCAGTTACTGTTTAACTGTGTTGATGTAAAAATAGCTCACACTTACATACTTCTGAGAAGTGACTCTTAAATAGGTCTGATAATTTAATTAGGTTTGAAGTTTATGAAACTTATACTTTGCATTAAGGTGAACCAATATCTTGCATTTTCACATCAGGATAGTCACACAATGCCCAGACTCCACTGGTTTCTATACAGTGATGTGTGATTGATGTTCCCACTTCACCCTCTCATCACTACCATCATGGGGTGAGGAAAAAAAGTGGGCTCCTGGGTGTAAATTTGGATTGCCTAAAGGCAGAATCACTTCACAGCCACAAACCACCTGACCCCAATGTAAGGGCACAGTCCAGCCTGGCAGAGAGCTCGTTCAGGTGTCAGTACAGAGCTGGAAATGCTCCAAGCATGTACCACCACTTCTGGGCAACTTTGAAATGCTGCCCTTGCTTCTTAAACCACACAAAGCAATGGAGCTGCTGTATATGCAAAAAGATACATTGAAATGACAGGGAATGGCTCAGAGCCTCTGAGAGGAATTCTGTGCCATGGCCAGAACCCAGGGATGGCCCAAACAGATCTGAGGTTCCCTTTGGCCTGGCCAGGCCCTCCAGGTGAGACAGGGCCAGCTGAGCAGGCTGCACAGGGGCACAGGAGGAGTTTCACAGTTCTGGGACACACTCTGGGCTGTGGCTCCCCAGGAGACATGAGTAAGCAGCAAAAAGTCACCGAGGTCCTAAGCCCTCCCCAGGGTGTTAATGATAAACCCAGGGAGGGGATACTCAAAGTCCATTACCATGAACAATCAGGAGGAGAACAAAACCGTGTTTCATTAACAATTAATCATTAATGAGAGTCATTTACACTACAAAATGAAGCTGGAAAACTTAAAGAATCCCACCACCAAGCCAAGCTGAGAATGTTTCTGTCTTTCCACTATGCTGTTGATCTCTGTACAAATACCTTACACTGGCCAGTGGAAGCAGCAGCTGCCCCTGGGCAGGCTGGGGAATATTGCTACAGCTACAAAAAGGCAGGAAAGGGTTTCCTGTCCTAGGCACTTCCTACTGATTTTCCTATTTCCTATTATGCTTTTCTATTTTTTATTTTAACATGCTCATCACTATCGGAGGGGATGTTCTGGATTAAAGGAAGCTTTGCATTTTCACACACATATGTACAAAGAAACCTCATTTTTGCATTCTGGTGTAAGATGGTGAAGTGGGAAAGCCAAAGACCTACATAAATTTGCTCCATGTAGCATCTGCTTGCCTAATACAGTCAGTTATATATTGATTTAGTTAAATCACCAGGTAAAAGTCATTGTTCTGTGAATGGCTACTATTTCCACTTCATGTAATTTATTGGAAATTATAGTATTCTATGTAATAAAACCAAAACCATTTCTGCTTTTAGGACAGAAAAAAAATGGTGTTCTGTGATATTAGATATATCACTGTCACATTCTGCAGCACAGGATGCTTCCCTGCCCTTCCAAACTTGGTTGGAGCTTCTCCCACAGCGAAGGGTTGTGTTAAACACACTGGCTGCCAGTTTGGGCTCTGTAACACTGGTTTGTTTGCCTTACAGATGAAGCCTCCTCTGATAAGATGTACTCTGCTCAGGACATGGCTATCCTAGGGGGCACCTTAGCAGCACTGCTCTTAATTGCCTTGGTCTTCCTTGGAGTGCTGGTATGGAAATCCAGTAAATGGTATGGAAAACCTGTCAAACACCTGCTGAAGAAGAAGGTGAGTGCCTCGTTTGTACCTGAATTTCTAAGAGTTAGAAAGTGGCATCTGAGGAAGTTTTAAAGTCTGGGTGGGCTGCCCAAATAGCACACATTGTGTGAAGGTGGTAAATCACTCCCAAGACAATGTTTGCACAGGTAACCTTGCTTTGGTGGTGTTTGCTGCTGTTTTCTGCTCCCTAGGCTGGAGCTGTGTGGTAGATGATGAGCAGACATGGTAAGGAGAGGACCCCAGCTCCATGGAGCACAAAACCTGGGATGAATGTGACACATATCAGAGGTGGTCTCTAAACCACAGTTCATCCTCCCTCCCTAGTCAAAGGAGAGAAAGGTCCCTCACATTTGAGAAGCCTGGGCTCAGACACTTGTCTGCACTTCAGCTATTTACTTTTGGACCTCTCAGGGCCCTGGCAGACTGGTCACCTTGGAGTTTAGGGTGTAATTTGTCTGACCAGATGTTGGTCTGTGCCTTAGGATGGGACTGCCAGGAGCCTAGACATGAGTGCAGAGCACATGGCTCAGGTGGAGAACAACAGTCCTTCCCCCTGGGTGAGGTGAATCCCCCTCCAGAGTAATACCTCAAACAGATGGGGACAAATCAGTGCACAGTGCTGGTGCTCAGCCCTCCTGGAAAACATGCCCACACTGACCTGAGAAAGCTCCAGAAATGGAGTCAATAAAAACCAGCTGTTCCAGGGAGCTGTATCTTTCCCTGGCTTCAAATAGGTCTAACTGCAAACCAAGCTGAACTTCCCTGGGCAGGAGCTCAGTCACTTCAGCCACCCCTTCCCTCACACCCCCCATTTATCTTCCTGTCACTACAATCACTGTCTCTCCTGTAGCTCTCCAAGGAAGTCTCTGGGGGTCACCACAACGAATATTACCAGGAATATGAATACCCAGACGTGAGCACCACACAGGATAAGACACCAGAAAACGGCAGCGTCCGGTCGGAGACTGGTGTGCTGGAGCAGCCAGTGCCTCCCCTGCCCTCCCGCAGTGCAGGGGAAACTGAGAGTCTCTCAAGGGGTCCTACAGCTTCCAGCACCATCTCCATCCAGGGAGAGAAAGAGGAAGAAGTGGAAGAAGAGCCCGGACAGGAGAAAGAGGTGAAGTCCATCCTCAAGACAGACAGGCACGTGGCAGATGATGGCTACAAAGCTGTGTGGTTTAAGACCGATGTGGATCCAGAGGCTGGAGAGAGGGTTGAAGTGATTGAGAACAATGCAGCAGCAGATGATGATGATGATGACAGTGACCAATATCTGCAGAAGAATGAGGAGGAGGAAGAAGATTCTGACCTGGATGATCAGCACGGAGGGCTGGGACTGTCCTTCGCCTCAGAGAGCTCCTCACCCCCAGCTGCACAGGAGACAGTCAATGTGTCTTATATGGATGCAGTGACAGGAGAAGAGTCTGAATTATAATGGAAGTGGGCCTACATCCCCCTCAAAATGGGGGAATCTCAGCAGCTTTGCTGGCATGAAGTCCATCTTTCTGCTCAGGGAGTAAACTGGAATGCAGAGGATGAGGTTGCCTGCCCTGCCTGTCTAAATGCAGCAAATAAGGCCAGAGGAGATTACAGCTAATTTACCCCTTTAGTGAGACCTTGGAATGGCACTTAGGATTCAAGGGGGAGAACATGTTTCATCTCTCCACTTCCTGCCTGTTTCCCTGGGCCCCTTCACATCACCTTTCCCAAACTGGCTGCAGGTACAGCAGAGCTGTACCTGAACTGACCTGGCAGTCCAGGTCTGACCTTAGCCCAGCTCAGGGAGCAGTTTGGTTACACAGCCCAGTGTTCATCTCCTTGGTGGGTGAATAAGCCAGCAGTGAGTGCTTGGCTGTTCCCTTCAGGGTGTTACAGTCTGGTGTCAGCAAGTCCCCCTGAGCCTGCAGTTGCTCATGTGACTGTGTCCAGGAACTCACTTCAGGGCCTGGCTCTGCTCTGTGCTCCAGCACAGGCAGCTGGAATGTGCCACCACAGTCCTCATCCTGCCACCAGCCAGGAGGTTCTACACTCAGGAGCTGGTGTTTCCTCTGTCATTGGTTAACAAGCACCAATCACTTGTTCTTTACTGAAGGACTTAGTCATCAATTTTCTATGCCATAAACCCACTCATTGTGCACTATTTTAACTGTCTATCTCCTATCTATCAGGGAAAAGAGCTCCTGAGATATTGCCTTCAGTTATGGCCCTGCCAAGTCAGCACTGTGTTTCCAGGCAGCAGGGGGAGGAAGGTGTTTGATGCTCCTGTCCAGGTTTGCACCTCCCATCGACCCATCTCTTCCCCCAGCTGGCAGCCAAAGGCTGGGCTGGTCTCCACTGGCATCTTCTGATCATCAGCACAAAATTTATACTGCTCCTGGTTTTCTCACTTTGGGGCTCACTGCAGAGCAGATGTGGGTTGTGGAGCGTTTAACTTCCAGTAAAAACTCAAGACTGTCCAAGGCAGGGATGCAGCAGGAGGAACTTGGGTCACTGGTCTTTGTCTCATTTCCTCAGCTTAGCACAACAGCACAGGATTGCAACAAAGTAAGTGTCATGGTAGAGGAGCAAAACCAATAAATAATCCTGCCTTTTCCCTTCAAACCAATCTGCACTTTGCTGCCATTATTCCAGACAAACCCGAGAGAGAGAGAAACCAAAGGATGACTGCTGGGATCCTCAAGTACTCCAGAGCACAAAGGATTTGCAAGGAGGCTTTTATCCTCTAGGCCCATACTTTATTCCCATCCATGTCCCTGTCCCAGTGTTCAGTGCTCAGTTCTGCTCTCCTGAGAGCTGCCCTGGCTGTGTGGCCTTCAGGAGCTGCACTCGTGCTGCAGGTGGAGACGTGGGAAGCTTTGATCCCTCCTGCAGCCGAGCTGTTTGCCCAGTGTGGTTTGGCTGCTGGTGGAGGGCAGGGAGTGTGCCCTGTGTTTGCCATGTAAACAAGGCTCCTCCTGCTGCTTTGGGTTGTCTCCAGTAAGCATTTCCCACGGGACTGGGAGAGCTCTCCAGCAGCTCCTGATGGCAGCCCACCACCCTTGGGCACAGCGAGGGTGAGCCCAGCCTGCCATCCCTGGTGCTGCTCCTGGGAGGACTGTGAGGGGTGGGAGAGGCTGGAGTGTCCCTCATGGCTGTGCCACGTGTGCTCATTCCTGTCTGTCAGGGCCCTGTTGTCTGTCTGTCTGGGTTTCTGGCACAGTGATTGACGAGCTCCCTGGACCTGCAGTCTGTGCTCAGCTCCCAGTGCTCCCCCTTCCCTCCCCGGGGTGCTCCCTGTGCTGTTGGAATCAGACTGGTCCCACCAAACCAGGCTTTGTTTTCCTCCAGTCCTCATCAGTACACACAGCCACGGGGCTTGGTGTTTTTCAGAGTTATGCTTGTTTAATTTCCAGGGAGGTGATGTTTGGTAAATGCTGTGTCTGTGGAAGTGGTGGTTGTTGTGAGGAGAACTAATAAAACTTGGCAACAGGCAGAGCTCAGCTTCCTCCAGCTATTGCCTTAAAGCCTCCAGATCCTGTTCTTCACTTCTGCCTTTTTGGAAAAAAAAAAATAATAAAAAAGTGAAAGGAACAAGAAGAAAATGTAACCTTTTCAGTTCAAGTCCATCTGAGTTTACCCTCCATCTGGTGGGATTTGTTTGTCTGCTGAGGCTGGGAATGTTTATAAACTTCTTGCATTATTGTACAGCAATCATGTTCATTTATAAACATCTGCGTGGGAAGGAAAAATGTACCAATAGAAACGTTTTTAGAAAATTGTATCAGCTTAAGTGTTTTCTGATGGCAAATAAACGCCGAAGTACCTTGAAAAGCTCACCCTTGCACTCCAAAGACACTCAAATGCTTTTGGAAGTTTAACTCTACAGGTAGATTTAAGAAATCTCTTTCACCCTCTCCCAAATCAAGCTCTGATTTTTATTTCTGTACCAGCTTAGAATGATATTTGTTTAATGTTTGTAAGTCAGAGCTATAAAAAGTCAGTGAACAAATCTGCAGGTGAATACCAGCAGTTCCAGTGTGGCAGTGGGAGGTGTGGGTTTGGGATTTTACATCTGCCAAGGAAGAGGATGCTCATGGCTTTCCCAAGCCTGGAGCACCCTCTCCTGGAATAACACCCCTGGGAAGTGCCCACTTCACCTTCCCTTTGGCCTCTACAAGGAGAAAAAGCCACATCCCTTCTTGGCTGTCAGGGGAAACTCTAAACCTGAACTGGAAAAAATCAAGTAAATACAGACATTTTACCTGCAGGAAGTAATGGAAACCTGATTTAAAAAATCACCAGGTGTCTGAAAATTCCTTTCTGCTCACATTCTGTCCCCATTTAGAACTGAATAATCCCATGGATTTTATCCAGTCTCATTGGCATAATTGACCTCAAATGCACCTTTTGGCCTTTTTTGGCCCCCAAGAGAAAAATGCTTTTGGTACCTGGCAGAGTGCAGAGGACACTTGTTGCTTTGGCTTCGAAGGGATGGAAGAGAACTGGAGAGCTTTCTCTTTGTATGTGGGAGAGCAGAATGATCTCCCTTTTATCTGTGTCAATAATGAACCCTGATCTCTTCAGTCACCTCATCCGGAGAGATTATCCTTCTCAAAGAACACTTCCAAATGATAAATAGTCAGCCATAAAAGACCTGTTTTAACCTGATTTTTCTTGGATATTGAGTGACCTTAGCTCCAAAATGGATTCTTTTTCCCTCAAAAAAGAAGTCAATTCAATTTTATTCTGGTTTGTACCTTTTATTTTTTCCTTAGTTGGTTACTAAGTCCTCCTAAAAAATAAAACAGACCTGAGCAGTAAATGCAAACTTAAAGAAACAGGATCAACTCCATCATATGGGCTTTAAGCAAAATATAGCCTTCCCTTTTTATAAATAGATATTTTATCCAATCAATAACAACACAAGAGTCCACCAGACACTGAAAGGAACAGATTTAGAACTGAAGAAACAACTGAGGCCAAGGAAATGACCCAGTAGTAATACCTGGATAGAACTTGTATTCCTGTGCTCCTTTTGCAGAGAGGCTGCTGTAATGAAGGACTGAGGTTGGAATTCTGGTTTTCACCTTGATTTTTGTGTAAGTTGAGACAAACACTTGTATGATAAGTCATAATGAAAGAGCTGAAAAATTTAAGACACCACATTATACTCGATGTTATGCTGGGATTTATATATCTTTATGCATACATTCTGCATTTTATTGTAGGATAAGTGTGTTAACTCTTCAGGTATAAAAGTAACAGATTTTTTAGGGAGATATAAGGCCATATATCCCTTTTAGGCAGGTCATTAATTTTTTGCCTATGTAGTGAAGAAGAAACCACCCGTCAACAGCGTGATCCAAGTTTGTCTCATCTGGGAGTATGGAATCTCCATAACCCACAGGCATCACAAATGGCTTCAGAGTCTGGGAATTAAGGTCAGCTATGAAGGAAAAAAATCACTTTTTACTCATCAAATAGTCAATTTTTTTGTGACAAATATTTCTGGTTTTGATCACCTTTCCAGTAATAGCAGGCAGCTAATCTGTATTACTCACAGGATATTCCTGTCCAAGTCTAGGGAAATTTTTTTTGCAGCTGCCACATATTTCAGTTTTTGCAGATCTAGAATGCAGAAGGGAGCAAGACATCAGTATTTTTAAGACCCTGAAGATGTTGGATTTTATTAAGATCTCAACTTTCACTTAAAGAGAGGTGAACGACCAGTCTCAACACATTCAGTTCCCTACAGGAACACAAGGTGATGCTGAAGAACAACTTGAAACTAGTGTAGGGAGCTGTTAATGCGCTTCCCTCCCCACTCCCCCTCGGGTGAGGTTGTTAAACCTGAGTTCTCGACTGTACCACGTAAATAAGGGCTGGAAAAATTTGATTTCACTGGGGCAGTCACAGCTTCTCTGGACAACCTGTGGCAGGGCAGGGCCTCACCCCCCGCACAGGGAGAAATTCCTTCCCAATATCCCATCTAAACCCACCCTCTGGCAGTGGGAAGCCATAATAATAAGATTAATTCTGAGGGAATAAATTATAAAACTATTTATTTCTTCCTGACGGAGTCGCCTGAAGGGAAACTACAGCTCCCGTGATGCCCCGCGGCGGCGGTGCGGAAACGAACCAATCAGGTGAGGGGGGCGCCGGGAGCGGCCAATGGGGAGAAGGTGGACGTTTGAATTTCGGGGCGGGCTGAGGCGGCGCTGCCGTTACTGCGCGAGGCTGAGGGGTA